CATCTCGTTTCCCTTTGGGGTTGCTGTAGATGATCCAGAAGTCTGTTTTTGAGGCTTGTTTACATGTCTTCTCATTTCCACGGGGTGGGGGGTGTGCTTCTGGCACCCGAGCAGCTCATCTTCTCTGCCCTAGGAGCATGGAATGGCGGTAGGGGAGCTCCCTTCTGGGTGCTGGGACTGGCTCAGCTTCTCTGCCCTAGGAGTGTGGGATGGCAGCGGGGGAGCTTCCTTCCGGGTGCTGGGACTGGCTCACCTTCTCTTGACTTCTTCCTTTTTTGTACATATCCCTTTTCATTCTTTCTCTTGTCTCATTGCTGTTACTAATATTTTGAGTATACTGAACAGGAATGGTGACAGTGGACATCCCTGCCTTGTTCCTGAAAAACTTTTCAAGTTCTCTCCATTTAATATGATGTTGATCATTGGTTTGTCATAAATGGCTTTTATCAGATTGAGGTAAGGTCCTGTATCTATTTTCCTCGGGGTTTTCTATCATGGTGTTGAATTTTGTCAAGGGCTTTTTCTATGTCAATTGAGATGATCATGTGGTTTTTGTCCTTAGTTCTGTTTATGTAATGTATTAAACTTATTGATTTGTGTATGTTGAACCATTCCTGCATCCCTTGGGTAAATTCTGTCTGGTCATGAGGTATGATCTTTTTGATGATTTGTTGCATTCTGTTTGCCAATATCTTGTTGAGGATTTTTGTGTCTATGTTCACTAAAGAGATTGACCTTCAGTTCTCTCTCTCTCTTTTTTTTTGGTTGGGTCCTTGTCTGGTTTTGGAAGCAGGGCAATGCTAGCTCTTAGGAATGACTTTCAGAGTACTCTTTCCCTTTCAATATCATTAAAAAGCTTGAGGAGGGCCGGGGATTTAGCTCAGTGGTTCTGCCACCTGCTTTGCAAGCACAAGGTCCAGAGTTCGATCCCCAGTACTAAAAAAAAGTTTGAGGAATATTGCCATTAGATCTTGTCTAAAGTTCTTATAGAATTTGGCAGTGAATCCATTAGGACCTGGGATTTTTATAGTTGGTAAGTTATTACTTCTTCAATTTCACTGCCTGATAATGGATTATCTAAGGAATTAAGATTATTAAGACAGTGTTGTTAATTTTCACATTTGCCTAATTTCTGTTATTTCTTTTGCCATTGATTTGTATTTTCACTGCACTATGATCTGATAATATGGATGGTATAATTTCAATTCTTTTGCATTTACTTAAGCTTACTTTATGATCTAGTATTTGGACTATTTTGGAGAGTCTCATGTGGTGCTGAGAAAAATGTGTATTCTACTATTGTTGGATAGAATACTCTGTAGATATCCTTCAAGTCCATTTGTTCAAAGGTTTGGTTCAACTCTAATATTTCTTTATTGATTTTCTTCTGTCTAGTTGGTCTGTTTATTTGTGAGAGGTATTGAGGTCCCCCATTATAATTTTGTTGGATTTTTTTTATGTCCAGTAGCATTTATTTGGTGCTCAGTGGATATATAATTTTTATCTCTTTCTGCTGACTTGCTTCTTTAACCAATATGTAGTGACCTTGTTTGTCTCTTCTGATCAATTTTGGCTTGAAATTAGGATAGTTACTCCTGCTTTTTCCTGGGTTCCTGTTGCATGCAATATAGTTTTCCATCCCTTAATTTTGTTTTGTTTTGGTTTTTTGCAGTACTGGGGATCAAACTCAGGGCCTTGTGCTTGCCAGGCAGGCATGGTGCCACTGAGCCACTCCCCTAGCCCTAGCCGTTGATTTTTAATCTGTGCATCTTTTTAAAAATTAAATGTGTATGCTGCATATCAGTGGGTTTTATTGATCCATTCTGCCACTCTCTATCTTTTGACTTGGAATTGATACCATTTACACTGAAAGTTATTACTGAAAGTATTGACGTATCCCTATCACTGCATTACTTTCTTGTTGCTGATCCCCCCCCCCCCGCCCTTCTGCTTAACTGCTCACTCTGCCTGGTGTATTCATTCTATTAGGTTTTTTGACATTGTTAGTTTCATTCCTCTTTAAAGGATATCCTTGAGAATTATTTTGGAGTGCTGGTTTGGTGGTCATGAATTTCTTAAGGTGCTTTTTATCATGGAAATACCTTATTCCTCCATCAATTTTGAAGGGAAGTTTTGCATGATATATGTCTGGGTTGGAAGTTATAATTTAGGGCTTGAAACTCTTCACTCCAAGCTCTCCTGCCTGACCTTTAAGTTTGTGTTGAAAAATCGCTGTAATTCTGATGGGCTTATCTTTATTGGTGATTTGTTGATTTTGTCTGTTTTTAAGTTTCTGTCCTTGTGCTGGACTTCTGGTATTTTGACTATAATGTGATGTGGAGGGGTTCTCTTTTGATTGTGGCTTTTTGGAGTTCTATATGCATCACTTCTCTGTATGTTTATTTCCTTATATTTTAGATGTTTTCTGCTATTATTTCTATAAAAGGGGTTTTTATGCCATTTTACTGTTTTCTGATTTTTCACTTTTCCCAATTAATCCTAGTCTTCTTTGTGTAATCTAGCAGCTGTTGGATCCATTTTCATGTTTGCTTGCAGTTTTTAAGGTATCTCTGAGTAATTGGTCTTTGAAAGCATTTCTATATTTTAATTCTTATATTCTGTTCTCACACTGGTAGCATCTGCTACCCATACTTTTAATATAATTTCTAACCTCCTAGATTTGTTTGGAACCTTTTAATGGAGTCTAATTCTTTGTTAACTGGTTGTTCATGTTTTGTATCATTGTTTAGCTCAGCTCCCTTTTTATTAGTGTCTTCTGTAAGATCTCTGATCATTTTAATACAGTAAAACCTTGGATTCTAAGAAACTTGTTCTATGAGTGTTCCTCAAGACAAGCAAACCTAACAAATTTTAACTTGATAAATGAGCCATGTCTTGAAAAAAATTAGTATGTAATGCTGAATGTCACATGATCACAACTGAGCCAATAGTTCTTCTCTCTCTCTTCTGTGGGACTGTGAGTGATCGTCTCCCAAAAAGAAGTTATGGAGATCTCGTCTGCAGAGGAATCTCTCACTTTAAATGAGATGAGGGAGCTGTGTAAAATGTGGGAAACAGAGCAAAATTTTGTAGAAAAGTACCAGCCAAATATGATTCCAGAAGTACATTCTGTTTAATGACAATGCAGCGGTTACATTTCTGTGAAATCCTGAAAAGGAGGCAGGAGTGTCATTGGGTGGGTTCTTTAATTTGCATGACAAGAAAGATTCCACTAAGCCAATAGATAGCAGTGAGTCTGTTAGTGATAGTGAAAGTCATTCTATACAATAACCCTCCTCTCTCCTCCCTTCCTGGGGTGCCTGAGGCCAATGTGAGGACTACCACACATCCTTGGGAAAGCAGATTTACCATATATGCTCACAACTTGCAGCTGGGCCCAGAACTCCTGCCTGAGTGCCACTCAACCCTAAATCTTCTGGCCATCCTTACCTTGATGGGCAGCAATGGAACCAGTAACTAAGTACTTGGTGTGCATCAGGTCACTTCCCATGGCCCTCACATGGGCTAAGGCCTCCACTGTTTGCTTCAGCCCTGGATCACCTTCCTTTTGCAGAGGAAATGGAAGAGAGGGAAGTGAGACTTGTCTTGGCCACTGGGAAACAGGGACAGAGGAGGGCTGGAGCCTGAATGCCAGGGTTTCCAGGATGGCTTCTCACACACACCACAGGGCACACAGACCCAAAAGGACAGAAGCAGTCTCCTGGGTCAGTGACCTTCACATAGCAAACAGACCAGGAGACAAAGAACAGTCATTTCCTTCTGACACTTTATTGTTTACAAAACAAATGGATTTGAAGGACAGGAACACAATCATTATGCTGACAGTAGCAATTACAGAAGGAAAGAAAGGCTAGCTTTTAAAATCTTTAAAAAATCACTGTGTGAAAATGCTGCTCAACTCTGGGCCAACAGACAAATTAGAAATGTTTCAATTGAGTGACTGTTCCAAGTCCTCCCCATTCCTAAGTTCAACTCTATTTTTAAAATCACATAACCTAACATCACTGAGATTTATTGAGGGAGTCAGACTGCCCAGCCAGGCACAGGTACAAGAGATGTGGGTCTTCCGAGCTGGGCCCAGCAGGAGCCAAGCTCTAGAAAAATGTCACTCAATAATGTGGCATTGTTTTTTGCTGCTGTCCTGTAGCGTGAGGTTCAGATCCAGGAAAGAGGTCACTGACTGGCTCTTCCTAGCAGCCATCCTGGAGTTCCTATGTGGAAACGGTCTACGAAGGTCAACACAGGGCTGATCACAGCCCAGGAGCCTCCCCCCAACACGGTGCCTCTACTATCCTGAGGGGTGAGGTGAGGTGAGGTAGTTGCCATGGGGAGGAGAGCTGTGATGTCCCTTCTCAACTTCAGTCCTGCCAGTCTTCAGACCCCCTGCCTCTGCTCCAGAGCATCAAGAGGAGATAGCAGGGACCTATAAGGAGCCAAGGTCTGTGTGAAGCTTCCACTGGGAAGAGGTGGTGGTTGTGGAGACCCCAGGAAATGACAGGAATCATCTCCAGAATGAAGCAGGCCTGGGCCAGGGGTCAACTGCAGCGCTACTGAAACCTAGGTCCCCTCCTGGGGCAGACAGTAACACATTCAAGTCATTAATGAGTCTTGAAGGACATGGCACTTTCTGCAAGTTGCTAGAAAAAGGCAGTGCGCCAAGGACTCAGGAACCTTTACTGTGAACTGGCTTTGCCAACTGTGGCTGCCTAGTTATAATTTCCTCAAGGCTGGGAGCAAATCTGCTATGACTTTGCTCTGATAAGATCTGGTGATTTTGTTTTATGAGAGAGGAAACTGCCTCAATAAAAATAAGTTAATAATTAAAACCTCAAAGTGCTATATGGCACAGAATTTTCCAGAAGGGAGAAAGAGTCCCTGGCAAGGGAAGTTCCACCATTTCACGTGTGGCTCTCTGGGCAGTGCAGGTGGGTGTGTTCCTACAGACCACCCTCACTGTGCCTGAATCCTGCAGTGTAAACATTTAACTTCCAAGGTCAGCAGGATGCAAGGAATGCCCAGGGCTCCCACAGGAGCACAAAGAGGGATGGCCTGGAGTCCCTAGTGGGCAGGCCCAGGACATGCTCACTGCTATTCCCAGTGTGGGGCACAGCGCCTAACATCGCAGGTGCTCCTGAAATATTTACTGAACAGAGAACTCATGGAAAGTCAGGAAAGGGAGCTCAGATGGAAGAGGAGCAGGGCAGAATTCAAGGTCAGTCCCCTATCGAGGTGTCTACAGTGATCAGTCTCCACCACCAGGTGGCAGTGCTGAGAGGCCCTGAAAGAGGAACCCTGAGGGGCTGCGCTGGACCATGGACCTTACCCTGTCCCAGCTCCAGGACATCAACCTCCCATGTCATTTTCGTCTGCTTCATACGGCTGGGACTGAATCCTCATTCTGGAAATCCCTCAGCCAGGCACACACTTCGTGGTTACAAAAAGAACAAGACAAAAAAAAAGTGCAGTCCTCTGGTTTTTATAAAACTGCAGTCCTGATGCAGTGAAGACTATCTCAGCCGTCCCCAATGTCGGAATGCCTTAATTTAAATGAATTCTATCCCTTCATACTTCACGTTTCCGATCTTGGTCTCGGGCAGCAGGAAGCGCCCATCTAATGTGAAGGCCATGACGTAGGTGGCCACCATGCCGCTGTCCTCTTCAGACTTGAGGGCCACAATGATCTGGTCGTCAGTGTTGGGGATGAACTTGAAGGACGAGAAGCCGTGCGTGGGGAGCACCTCGCCCACACGGCGGACGGAGATGTCCCCGAAGTCCTGGGCAGCGCTCAAGAGGAGGTTGGTGCCTTTGCGCTCATCGTCCTTTTCGCTGTACCGCTCATGGCTGGCCCGGCGCGGCAGGAAGAACCAGCGCTGCAGAGTGTCACTCCAGCAGGCCGATTCGTGGATGAGGTAGCCTGGGACACAGGACAGACCACGATCACCACGTGCACCGGACAGACTGCCTGGCCCTTCATCTCCGGGGCCACCCACCTCATGACCAAGTATGCAAGAGCAGCAGCGAGCCCCACTCAGGACAACCCAGGGGACAGGTGTCTCCCCTCTGGACCTCAGTTCTCAGAGGGCTCTCAATCTGTGGCTACTGTAAGCTCTGCAGGGTGATGGGCAAGCACGCAGACTAGGGCGACACTGCATCAAGTCTTCAGTTCCATGTCCCCCACAGGCTGTCCCTAGAGAGGGCCACAGTCTTTACCAGGAGTCCTGTGTTTACTTTGTTTCCTTGGTGCTAATCAAAAGGCACAGGAAAGAGTCCAGGGAGGGGACAAAATAAACAGAAGTCTGATTTGTGGAAAGATAAACCAGGCTGGGGGAGGCTGCCTCAAGGCTGCAGGAGGCGCTGTTCCTCTCCCTCTCCCGGACTCAGCTCTCTGCTCAGACACTTCCTCCCACACCTGCAGCTGGCCAGGCCACCCAGATTCAACTTTGGACCTCCTGGGAAGTGACGAGGAGGGTGGGCTGCTCTGTGTGGGTGAGGAGCAGCAGCCTGAAGGGCCCAGAGGCCATCTGTCAGGGTCAGTGGTAAGAAAGAGAAAATGGCTCCCCAGAATCCACTGGCCTGAGGGTGCAAAACCATCAACACTGAGCAAGACGTGACATCATTGTGATCAGGGAGCACGCAGAGAGCGCACAGGTCCAGGACGACCAATACCCACCAGACACCCAGCTGGACACCCATGTGGTCCCTGGGCTGGGTCTGAGCTGGCCTCTTACCTGGCGGTCGGATCCCCGCAGCAGCCCGCAGAGCATTGTAGCTAGACACCCAGTTCTCATGGTCCACGCTGCCCTTGTTGCCCACCACCTTCACCCACTCAGGGTTCTCGTTCACCACCTCCCCAGTGGCTGTGGTCCACTCCTTGCCCAGGCCGCCCACATACAGCCGCTCGTCCTTCACTGCCAGCCACTCAGCTTTGAAGCCTGGGGCAACAAGAGGAGAGCGTGCCTGAGAAGCTGCTCACTGTCACTCCATGGCCAGGCATCACTGGGGCCCTGGTGGTCCAACACCCTTGGACGTCAGAAGTCCCTGGCCTTGAACTTCACTGGAGCAAAGGACAAGAGGCACGGGCAGGCGCCTGCACACAGCCCCACACCCAGGGTCCCAGTTGGCACCCACCTCCCTTCTGCTTTCTTCCCCTCTGCTGGGCTTCCAAGGGACATTCTGTTTCCCCTGGCAACTCATCTAGGACCTCCTAGGCTGTGGCTCCACCCTCACCTCAGTTCCCAAAGGCTGGGGGCTGCTCTCCTAAACCTCCTTTGGTCCCTGACCCCTCCTCAAACTGTGACCCCAGCCCAGGATGGTTCTTCAGTGCTGGAGCGAGAGAGGACCTGCTCTGCAGGCTCATCACAGGACGTGCCACTGGAGAACGGCAGATGCTGGCATGCTTCCTCACAGCTAGCTTTGCAGAGATCTGCTGAACTCCTGAGGCCCCAGTGGCCTCAGCAGTCTCCAGAGCCACTTCCGTGATAAGATGCATCATTTACTGGAGCTCCACTACCCTTCTGGATGACCTGACCCCAGGCCAGTCCCAGAGCCCTTGTCCCTTTCTTTCTGCCAACAGGGAAGAACAGAACCACAGTAGGGTGATCTAAGACCCTGAAGGAAGGACACAAGGCAGGAAATGGGTGATGAACATTCTCTTTCTATGCGGAGATCTGGTCCCTGCCAGTAGCCCCAGCCTTGGACAAACATGGGAGAGGTTTTATCTTTGGGATGATGGAGGAGGTGGGGCCACCCAGGTTCTGTTCATATAGTTCCACCTCTGGCCTAGAAAGCCTGCACTGGTGGCTGGTTGACTTGAAGGAGTAGCTCAGACAAACACAGCATTTCGTCAGTCTTCTGCTGATGTCCTTCATGCCTCGAAGGCCACTTCCCAGGTGAGGGCTCTGGCAGGTGTCCCTGCCCGGGGGAAGCAGTAACTCTTACTGGGAAAACACTGGGGGCTGGCTGGATTCTGCTCGAATACAGACCTCTTCTGCAGAAGCAGGAGGGTGGGCCAGACAGCAGCTGATGTGTGCCCCAACACACTGAGGTCAAAGTCTCCGCTCAAACCGAGACCCCAACACAGGAGACTTTCAAGGTGCAGTGCCTGGCGGGTGTAATCCCAGCACAATCCTGAGACTCCACGGAAGCCAAGACAAGGGACAGGGAGAAGGCAGTGTCCACAGCCCTAAAACTTACCCTGGAAGGGACTCCTCATGCAGTGGAGCTCCAGTCTAGAAATGACTTTGTGTGACAGTAAGATTTTGCTCAAGGCCGGGCGGTGGGGTGCACGGGTTCAGAGCCAAAGGGAGAGTCCCCACCCTCTGGACCACTTTTCAGCTACGAACCAAACCCTGGCCAATTGGCCCTACAGCCCCAGCATCCGGCCAGTGCTGTACACAGCAGCTCCATTTACCCTTCTCCACGGTTCCATCGCCGTCAGGCAGAATCACCCAGGGCACGGCCTTGGTGCCTTCGATCTGGTAGATAATTCCCGTCCGGTCATCCACGGAGTAGAGTTTCCCATTGAACACCACCAGATCAGACAACTCCATGCCCCTCCCTTTTTCCGCCAGGTGTGATTCCAGGACAGTGTGGTCTTTGTCCCATTCCACAGCCACCTTGTCCCCACTGTCCGACAGGGTCAGGTAGCCCTTCTTCAGGTAACTGAACCAGGTGTTTTCCTCCTGGGCCCTGGACTCTGTGTCCAGGTCAGCAATGACAGCGATTCGGTATCGAATCCCACCTGGAGTCCTCTGGGGGACTGACAGGGGGTAAGTGTCATTGTATTGAGTGGCAGGCACCTGGCCGACCCTCCAGTTGTGTGCATTGTGGGTGGGGGACCTGCCTGGGGCTGGACGGTGGGAGTAGAACAGCCAGAGGAGGGCAACACCCACAAAGGACATGAGGATCACCTTCCAGCGGGGGCGGAAGCGGGGGTCTGCAGCCTTGGTCATGGATGCAAGCACAGGAAGGCCCCCCACACTTATCCGGAGGGAGTGCATAGGCTCATTCCATTCCAGGTGGTTGGAGGGCTGGATGGGCATCAGACTGAGTGTCGGGTGGGACCTGCACGCAGGGAGAGAGGAGAGCAGTCAGCATGCAGATACTGCTTCTTGGCTGCCTGAACTGCATGGGCTGGAGTCTGAATCCGGACCTGTCCAGGAGAAAAAGTAGTCCATTACTTCCATGGCTTGCTTACATCCTTACTCCAGCAATGTCTTTGTTTACTTTTATTCAGCAATATGTGAAGTCTTCCAAAGCAAAATTATTCCTTCTTCCTGTCCCAGCTGGCCAGAATGAAAGCTGACTGTGAGAAAGAAGTTTTGTGTGGGCTGGTACCTTGCAGTCGCTACAGAGGGAGGGAGCAGGTCTGAACACGGCTCAACCGGCCCCGCATCCGAGCCTCCCTGATGTCACCATCACATCACACACTTGTTCATTTCACCCCGGCTCCAAGACCATGCCTAGCACAGATGAAGGCTCATTAGGTGACTGAGTCTCTATTTGCTGGGTAGTTTTTGTAATATTTAAATATAAAATAAATCTGAGCCAGAGAAACACTTTTCTGTTGGTTTAGGCAGGACCTGTTCTCTGGTGCCCTTCTACTAATGCAAACTACTGCAGGGGCCAGGGTAAACCGCGTCTGCACACAGGCTCGAAAGGCCTGTGGGGAGCGCCACATGGCTCGGCCTGGCCCCAGGGCACAGCTCCAGGGCCACAGTGCTGGTGGTGGACAGGAACTGCAGCTCGCCCCGCCCATTCCCAGGCACACAGCACGGGATAGCTCAGTGTAGCCACGTGGCAGCAGACCCAGGCCAATGTCTGTCTCACCGCCACATTGGGACACTGGGAGGCGGGTCCCAGCTCTGCTGTAGGACAAGCTGGCTGCTCTCAACTCAGCCCTGCTACTGTAACCAGGACAGCACTTTGCTCCTGGACCACTGGACACCCTGCTGCCCCCATCCTCGAGAGAAAAACGAAGAACAGTGGGAACAGGGTTTATAGAGCACTGCCAGGCAGCACCTGGGAAGGGCTGTGGGACCCCAGCATCTCCATGCTGTCTTGGGCCCTCATGTACTCTGACCACAAGGGCTTGAGCCCCAGCGGGCACAGTGGCACACTTGCTCCAAGCTGCAGGCCCTGACAGGGCAACGCTCCCTGCGGAAGCCTGCACCTCCCTCTCCCTCTTCGGACAGGTCTATGTTTTAGCTCACAGGGTCACCTTGAAGGAGAAAAATGTGTGTGGGGGGCAGCTGCTCAGAGCAAGGCTGGGAGAAGGTTCCAGGCCCTAAGGGGCTCCAAGCCCCCTCCAGGGACAGGCCTCTCGGGCACCTCTCCTGGGCAAGGCCTGGCCCCTGGGAATGGTTACAGGGCTGGTCACTGAGGCCTTCCTGCTTGGTGGCCGGAGTTCCTGGTGCAGTGGCTCCTCCTCTAGTTGGCCCCAGCTCTGCTCTCCATCCCTTCTCCAGCCCCAGCAGGGTCCAAGTCTTGCAGTGTTTTGTCCTCAGCTCAGAGCCGGCCACTGAGCTTTGAATTCCTCCATCACCTCCTACGCAAAATGCTGCCTGCACGTCCAAAATGCACCTTTAACACAGTATTTCGAAACCTTAAGTCGTAATCCCTCTCCCCTCAAGCCTGCTCACCTCCAGCCTGCCCTCAGGAAGCGGGGGAGGGCCGGCGATGGGGGGGCCGCCCAGGTGAAAACTCTCACGGAAACCCTAGCCGGTGCACTGTTCTGTATGACTGTTAAACTTCAACAAAATACTACTGAGCACACCAAAAAGGAGTGGCCTCGACCCTTTCCTTTTCCTTCCCCATCTTCTGCCCCACCGCCAGGTCCCGTCCACCCAAAGCTGTCCCACCCACTGGCTCCAGCCCACTTCCTCAGCCGTCCCTAACCCCAAACACACCCGCAGCCTTCTTCCAACCCCCTTTAGCCAGTCTCCTCCCTGACAACACTTCACCGCCCACGGGCCTGCACTGCCAGCTATATGAGTCTCTCACGGCTTCCCCGGTCCCAGGAACTGTCACTGGGGCCTCCTCACAGCCCTCCCCTCTCCCTAGCTTGCTGACCTCAGCCACGTGAACCCCTTGTGTCTCCCGGCCTGGGCACTCTGACCCTGCTCTTCACGTGGCCAGTGCACTCTCAGTCTCAGAAACTCTCCCTGCTGCCCTGCACACTCGAGGGCCTTGGTACTTGTCCTTGCTCTGCCTGGAGCCCCAGGGGCCAGGGACCTGCCCTGCTGCATCCCTGTGGTGCACCCAGCTCACCACAGGAAAACAGAACCAGCTCAGCACACATTTGCCTAAGGAATAAAAAATGAATCCAGGGGTGGGTCATTACGTCATTTCTTCAATAGCCCCTCAATATCCTGCCCCTGGGATGCCCACCTTAGCCATCCGGGAAATCCGCAGCCCCAGATCAAGGCCCTAATGACTGAGCCACTCAGCTGCCACATCTGAGCTGCAGGCCCAGGGAAGACAGTGCCTGCCAAGCAGGACTGTGCAGTGAACTGTGACATGCCAGCCTTGCTCGAGCCCTCACAATGGTCCCTGCCCAACTCCTGTGTCCTGCAGGTCGCCAGCCACTGCTCCCAACAGACCCTGTGTCCCCTGTGGCAGTCCAGGGGGCATGGCCCACACCTGCATGCCCTTGCTCCGTTCCCTGGGCAGGGCACTGAGTCCTCTACCTCCTGCCTCAGTGGTGTCAGGCATCCTGTCTCCACCTTGCTCGCCATTTGCTCTCCAGACTACATGCCCAGGGATGCTGTGAATCCATGAAGGAATGGAAATCCCTCCCAAGTCCCAGACATCCTGTCCTTCCTCATCCCTGCCCATCACCTCACAAGCATCCGTGCTCACATGCTCTCCCTTCCCTCTGGCTGCTCTGCACTTTCCAGGTGGACCCCTGCCAGCCCTGTGCTGCACACCTCACTCTGTAGTTCTCCAATGACCCTGGGCTCTCCTAGGTCTTGACACCTTTGAAAAAGACCTTGCGCCTTTGGGGCCTAAACCCCTCTCCTGAGAGGCAGGCCAGGTGAGCCCACTGCCTGGTGCACCCACTCCTCCCACCCGTGGGCCCCAACATGCTATCCCGACTGAGCACATTCAAGCACTCAGGAGCCCCACTCGATCCCCAAGTAGGCACTAGGTCCCCTCACTTGTCCCTACTCCATGGCTCTGCCCCAGTCCTGTCTCACCTCGACGACTCTGAAAGCCTCTGAATCATCCAGATCTTCCCTCTGCCATTTACCAGTGATGTGGCCTTGAGCAGAGGATTTCTCTTGGCCTGTTTCCTTCCCAGGGCCATGCTGGTGGGCAGGTTGGGGGATAGGACTTCACTCAGCGCCTGCCTAGTATCCTTCTTCCCAACAAGCACCTCGAGCCCAGTCGCAGCCTGCAGGGAAGGCCTCACTCAGTTTTCCAGCCTAACTAACCTCCCCCAAGCTCTCAACCTGCACTCCACAGGACTATCTGCAATTCCAGATTCCATGTGTCCAGATCTCTACACATGGGGCTGCCCCTACCTGCTGCCCTTCCCTGACCACGTGGAACCAGAACCATCTAGAATTCCATGCTTCCACTGTCCCTCCCCTTTGTGTCCTGCATCTATGGTGAGGTCCCCCGCACCCCGCAAGTCCTTCCTCCTATAGGATGCTGATATTGGCTCCGCCTGTGGCAGTGCAGATTTTGCAGATGTGATCAAGATCTTGAGATGGGGAGACCATCTGGGTGTCTTTTCATGAGAGGGAGGCAGAGGGAGACTGATCTGGTCAGAAGACAAGGCCACGTGATCAAGGAGCAGGCTGGGATGACAAGGCAGCCACAAGCTGAGGAATGTCGGGGACCTGGGAAATGGGAAGACAGGGATTCCTCCCTAGAGCCTCTGCAGGGAGTGAAGACCCAGGACGCCTGGGTTTGAGCCCACTGGCAATGACACTGGATTCAAGATGTCTGGCAGACTGAATTTCTGGTACTGCAAGAGAACAAAAGTGTGCAAAGCTGTAAGTCACCACTGGTGTCATCACTATGGCACCCTAGGAGAAAAGATACCTGTCCCCACGGTGTCCTCTGGGCCACCCCACACCACAGTGGTCTGTTCCAAGTCAGACTCCGAACTCATTGCTGAGCTCCTGCTCACTGGAGGGAGGGGGCTCTGCCTCAGCCACTTCAACTCCCCAAGAACTAAGACAGGGACACTGTGTTAGTCACTTTCCTATCGCTGGACCAAAACACCTGACACCCACAACTTAAAGGAGAAGAGGTTTATTTTAGCTCGTGGCTTTTGGAAGATTCAGACCATAGCTGGCTTCCAGGGCAGAGGACACTTGCTCATTCCTTGACAGCCAGGAAGCAGGGTGAGAGAAGGGAGAAGTGAGGAGCCAGGGACAAGAATACACCTCTTCAGGTCATGGCCGAGTGATCTGCCTCTCCTGACCAGGCCCCACCTCCTACCGGCATCGCAGCTATGAACTCAATGGACTAATCCACTGAGAACAGTGCCCCCATCACCTCTGAAGGTGAGACCTTGGGGAGATATTTCAGATCTCAACCCTAACAGGCAGGAACATGTAGGACTCAGCCACCTCTGCTTAATGGAGAGACTGCTTTCCAGAAAACTCAGCTCCACGATACTTTCCTTTGGTCTCCATTCCTCCTTCAGTGCCCCTGGAGAGAAAGCTCATTTCTTTCCACAACCCCATCCTGGTCTGTCACCTGAATAACGGTAGAGCAAGAGTATGCATTTCCAAATCAGAGGAAAGGGCCCATCTGAACTTGTCTCCTCCCCTCAAAGAACGAAGCCACTTACATGTTTGCTTTATTGTACCAAGAGGCTGCAGTAGGAGGTCACAGGTCCTTGGGTCAACCAAGGGTGCCCACCAGGAGGCCTGCGAACAGCCCTCCAGGCAGGGAAGATGGAGAGCACGCCCTGTCAACTGCTTTCTCCTGTGCTAGCCCTGCTCCAGGTGCAACAACCCCAGAAAGAGCCACCAGGAGTGACAGCTACCTGAAAGCTCCTGAAAGGCTCCCGGTCCTAATTTCTTCTCCCTCTTGTCCACCCCAAGGGGGAAGGGAACAGCAGCGTGTTCTCGTGCACACCCAGGAGGCTGCTCCAGGCTGCTTCCCTATCCTGGCAGTGAGCAGCACCTCACTGTTAAGAGCAAGGGGCTCAGGAATCACCCACAGTCACTCGCTACCCCAGGCCTGCACGGGACTCTCCAAGGCTGAGCAGAGGGAGTAGCGGCACCCACACAGCCCACAGGCAGGGCAGTCCCTCCAGTCTCTCCGGCTTCCTCCAGGAGAGGAATGCGACACGTGGCAGATCAAACAGGTTTAAAGCAGCTGCTAGGGTAGAACCCAGCCTTTCAGGATCCAGGCAGGGCTTGGCCAAGGAAGGCCCCATCCTCAGCTCTCGGGAGCCACTCTCTCCTGCAGAGGACCTATCTTGCCTCTCTTGCTGTTTCACATCAGAGAGCAGGCAGGCCTCGGAGCACGCCCTGGCCTACTGCCAAGGTTTACTGCTTGTGGGACAGTCAGGAGCATAGCTTGCTAACCTGCAGGCTCTTCAGCAGCTCTTCAGCAGGGGGTTCACAGCAGCAAGCAAATAACAAAGGACATCGGGTCTCAGAGAAAGGATGCCTGCTATGGGCTGGGCTCCTTGCTTTTGCTTACCCAGGTCCCTACTGCACTTCAAAATTCAGAAGGAAGAAAGGAAAAACTCATGCTTTAGGGTTACCAAGGACGTGCCTCCTCCCTTTCACCACCCTCTTCACAGGCTATGACGCGCCACCTGACATCTGCACACACCCTCCCCGCCCTGTCCGGTACACAACTGAGTCAACTTAAAACACGGCTCAGGATGACTTATTTTTCAGCCTCAACTACTCATGAGGAGTGTGTTAGTTTCAATTGCTGCTGTAACTAATTACTACAGAGCAGGCAGCTTATCCACCGCAAACTGGCATTTCACAGGCCTGTAGAACAGAAGTCTGTCATGGGTCTCACTGGGCTATAATCAAGGGCTTGGTTCCTTTCCCAGGCTCTTGGGGATAGTCCACTTGCTGGCCTTTTCCAGCTTCAACAGGCTATCTACGTTCCCTGCCTTCAAGGCCAGCTGTGTGGCATCTCCTGGTGCTTTTCTGCCATCAAGTCCCTCACTCTTCTCCTGCCTCCCCTATTCCATTTTTAAGGACCCTAAGACTATGCTGGACCCAAGTGGAAAATGCAAGATTATCTCTCCCTTTTTAGGTTGGAGGTTAGCAATTGCAATTCCCCTTTGCCTTACAATGTACAAATTCACAGGTTCCTTAGGGTTAGGACACAGCCTCAGGGCCACTCCTGTTCACACCAAGCCTTTTTTTATGGGATGGGCAGCACGGCTTCAGAATCCTCTACAGCTGCAGCTCGAATTTTCTGTACCATAGCATGGCTGTATCTGCTTAGTCTGTATCACTGATGTTATTCTTGGAGGAATTTTAGCAACAGTCATCTTCCTATTTGAAAGTGACACCCCAAACAATACCATGCTACATTTTTTCAGAGTGCCTGAAAATATGGGGGTACACCAACCCTCTGACGGACCCACACCAGAGCTTACTTCCAGGCAGTGCAGTTGGACCCTTCATGTAGGAACCCACTGGCTCATCTGCTTCCCTCAGTGTGGGGCACATGAGACACAAAGCAGCAAGACCTTCCAGCCATTCCGACAGCCCGGGCTCATATTCACCCCCCCTTCATCACACTACCCTGCCTGGCACCTGGTATCAGCTCTGTGCTCAATGCCAGAGGCACAATGTCTGTCTGCGCATGGGTGAGCCAGGAGCTGTGGGCTCCACTGAACTCCTGGGCTTCTTGTAGAGAAACAAGGAGGATTCAGAAAAAATACAGATGGAAAGAGGAACAACTTCCCAGATTTCTTCATTATCAGAGTTATTTTTTCTGAACCAATCATCCTGACTTAATGAAAAGGGAAATCAATATAAAAGTTCTTAAAAATCAGTCTGAAAGTTTTTAATTCCCCTTATGTTGGCATTTAATATGAAATCTCAATAGTCCAGAGTGCACTGAAGGGAAAAAAAACAACCGTTCTTTGGGTTTTGTTCCCAGCATCCTGGTACCACTCCACAAACAGGAAGGAGAAACAACTTTCTTGTTATACCACTGATCCACGTCAGGACTCCAGACAATAATCCCAGATCCCAGCTCTTCTCTTGAAAGAGCAAATGCTAGAGGATTTGCACACCTGCCCTGTACAGCTGCCATGGACTATCACGTTGCTCCTCAGGAAATTCTTAAGACTCACATGACAGGAGCCATCTGTATCCATGGGAACCTGCAGATCCAAAAATGCTCACCTCCAAAGCCATACTCAACGAGAGGAGCAAAAATCTCACCAGAGCAATGACCACTGCTCCCCACCATACCCTGTGCCTCTCCTCAGGATGCTTGTGCTCAGACAGAAACCACAGAATCAGGTGTGCAGATGGACAGGTGGGTAAGAATCTTATCAAAAATGTTATCAAGAATGGGTAGCTGAAACTGATACATTCACTGAGTTACTAAAGGCTGTAGAAATACAGTTACAGTTGTAGAGGGGAGGAGACATTTAGCTAATAGAAGGTATCAAATGACAAGGTTTACACCTTGACTGAGGAGCAATACAGCCACACCTAGTGGTCCAGTCTATTTGCAAGATTATGATTTCCTCTTACCCCAGGCCATAACATCATCTTTTGTGATCAGGTCAATTTGGACAAGAGAACAAGGAAGAGAATACTAGAATTGGGCAGCGGCCTTGTGACAGTGCCTGGACAAATCTATGCTTCAGACATGTCCTCCCTGAACATGCTATGGACTGTGCACATCCAGAGGGGATGATCAGCCTGGCTCCTCCACAGATTCTTCCACACGGCTGTCATACAGACAGAAGGCTTATTGAGGCCAGGAGGAAGGGGTCCACTGTGCCCACAGGTTCCTGTGGGACTGTGGTGGCAAGAGGCCTGGGAAGAGCTGGAAGGTGGATCTGTGGCCCAGTCCAGGAGGACAGTTCTCAGCCAAGCTCCTCAAAGGGACAAAGGGTCAGGGATGAGGAGCTGCCCACTCAGCTGCCACAGGACAGTAGCATATGTTCCACCCTTCTTTCAGCTCCTTTGAGACCTGGCACTTTTTTCAAATTTTGGCCAGCCAGGTCTTACTGAAGCCAACAGACTCAGGTTCCCAAGCCTCGGTTTTGTTGAAAAAGTGGTAGGAAAAGATGCCAAGCACACAATCCCAAGACAGGGATGAGAAATGGAGCTAGTGGTGTGCCAAGACTGGTTTTCCTGGGTCATTAATGTGGAAAGATACTTGGGAGAGAGAGAGGATTTGCTGGAGGTGGGACAGAATGAGCACCGGTCCCCTGAGCCAGGCCTGGGGACAGAGGGCAAGGAAAGACTGTTTAGACGGAGAAGCAAAGGTACCAAGTAACGTGTGTGTGTGTGTGTGTGTGTGTGTGTGTCCCCAGAGACAGAAAAATGCAGGCCAGATGGGTAGGTGGTGGAAAGAAATGGTAGAAAGGATGCAAAGTTTGCAGCCAAAAGGACCGAGTGCCCTGTGAGCCTGTTAGAAGGTCAGTCTTGGACGAGGGCAAGGAAGGCAAGGGCTGGGACGCAGAGGAAGGCGGGCTGCCGCAGGAGGGGAAGGGTGGACAGTCAGTCTGTTACAGGTGTGACAAAGTGCCAGACAAGGCGCTGAGGCTGCCTCACCACTCAAGAGAAGGGGGCACAGCCAGGGCAGCAGTTGAAGTCAGAGGTTGGGGGTGGGAGGGGTTCTCCCCGGGAAAGGGTGTTTCGCCCCCACGGGCTGCGAGTCAGGGGCCCAGCCAAGGAGAAAGGCTGCGGGGCCAGGGGGCGGGCGGCGCCAACGGACAGCGCCAGGCCGTGGACGCGCAGTCACTCACCCGCTGCGGGCCGGGCTACCCTGCCCGCCGGCGGCCGCCTCCC